TATATATATATATATATAGAGAGAGAGAGAGAGAGAGAGAGAGAGGTGTCTCTGTTTATTGGTTATTCTATTCCATATTGTGATAAACTTCTCCAAACCATTTCTCAATCAGGCCGTGATCATTATCCCATCCATTCTTAACCAGTACCTTCTTCCATAACTGGTCATCATTTACTGTACTTCTTAACCACCATTTAGTTAATAAAGCACAATTCGTAGGACTCAATCTCCCATTTTTTATCCTACCATCTTTCCTAGGAGTACAGACTTCTTCCGTAATACAACATGATATTTCTTCCCCCCCCTCCCCCACTCCCTTATCTTCTTCCCATAGGGATCTTCTAATCATTTTCTCTATAACTTTGTGCAATCATATTAGGGATCTTGAACAAAGATATATAACATAAAGCAGATTCAACAGAGTTGAACTTATCAAATCTTTTCCATAATTCTAGCTTAGTTTGAAATCTTTGTACCACAAGATCCCATATGGATCGTGGTGCTCTAGCTTTAGTGATGGGCAACGCCATATACTTAATTGGCAAATTATGAATTCCACAACCCAATATTTCAGCCAATCAATTAAGTTCTTCTTGGCATCCCACTCCCACCAATTTGTCTTTAAGATTATTTACTTTCAATCCTGATATCACTTCAAAAAATGAAGGAACCTCCTCATATTTTTTGTATTTTCTCTTCTGTAGCTTAGTATCATCTGCATATTATAAATACGAAACAATAGTTCCATGATTGGATGTATGTCTTGAATCTTAATGACCCTGCATTTTCCACTGATTTAATCATCACATTAATAGTCTCGTCCATCAAAGTAAGTAAAAAGGGAGGCAGTGGATCTCGATGCCTAATCCCTCCTGTAGCATGAAAAAAACCTTTTGGCATTCCATTTATAATCATTGAAAATGTCCACTTGATAACAACTGTACACCCAATACATAAGCCTTTTTTGCATTAAACTTTCCTAGCCCCCCTTGTCAATCTTTCTCCAAATCCATTTTGCATATAATTCCTGTTTTGTTTCAGTTGCTTTTGAGCAAATACACTCTTTTGCAACAAAATATTGTTTGTTATTTTCCTTCCATGAATAAAGGTAAATTGGAGTCCTGATACAACAGTCTATATTACTTCCATCAATCTTTAGCTAAATTTTTAACCGTGATCTATTCAAAGATGTCAACAGATTGATTGGTTGAATATCATTTAGCCCTTCAACTACATTTTGGCTTTATTAATTTTTGCCCTCTGATAGAATTCCTCGACCATTAAGAATATATCCTGTTTTAGACACTCCCAAGTATTGGTTCCCAAAACCAGCTCCCTTTCGATTTCAAGTTTTATATGACCTCTGTATCACAAATTTGCAGCACCACTTCCTCGTGGACAGTTTTGGCCTTTATTCTCGCACTTTAAATCTGGTCTTTCCCAAAGAATCTTCAATGATAATTCCCACAACAATGTGCTATATCTTTAAAGGCTTCTAAATTCTAGGCATGGAGGGGCAATCCATCTGGTCTAAACCATGACATTTTCAGGTGGAATCATTGAATTGCTCAATGATGGGTTCCATGGTTGTACGGTTGACTTACCTTTTTGTTCTGCGATGTTTACTATCGCAATATTCTGTGTCTTTCTTCTAGATTCAATTGAAATATACACCAAACTCTCCTCAGAATCATTTATACTTTGGGGGACATCTCAAATTCCATGCACCTTGCATTCGTCTTTGTAACCCTTTAAGATCTTCTATTGGAGGGCAAAAGGATCCAATAAGACCCATTTACAGAAACCTTGTTATAGCTTCAACAACCTCCTCTTCGACGGTAACAATAGGAATCTTTCTTTCTCATTTTCTTTTTTCTCTCTTTGAATTGATAGCCTCTTCTTTCTATTCTCATTTTAAAAAACTTCAGCCCTGGTTGATGGTGCGATTTCTGAATAAGTTGACATTCTTTGACAATCTTCAACCACTATTCTTTTCCTTGTAATAATGCCCTCTGTGGTGCATCTTACTCTGTCAGTTATCGTGATCCCCAACGATTTTCAAACCATAATCCTCCATTACTCTACCATTATGCAGCGACCCCTGCAACTAGCATAAACAAAATCAAAGAACTCTGTAATCTCGAAACTTACTCTAAGTCTTTCACAATATAATTGCCACGACTCTTTTCTGCTGTAAATTGATCTTTTCTTGAATTCCCATCACCACTGCATCTAACACTTTGCTCTCTCTCTCTCTCTCTCTCTCTCTCTCTCTCTCTCTTTCTCAAATTCACTCGTGGTCAAATCATATAATTTATCAACAAGTGGTTATTTAAAAAAGATTAATTCAGTAGGTACTTCCACAAGTATTTTCGCACAAAATCTCATCTATGTTAAGAGTGCTGTTTGTACGGATTTTGAAGGATCCTAGTTTTTTTGCTGCTTAATACGCTCAATTTTATATGAAACTGAAATGGCTTCTCCAACTATTCCAATTGAGGCAGATGTACAGAAGGATCCCACATGTTCTGACAATTTCATAGACGATTGGCAAGATTACCTTCTCTCTCTATGTATATATCCTATGGGGTGGTCCTTTCAGCTGGCTTGAGAGGTGTGCTCGGACCAGCATCAAAGCATTTCTGGATTGACTGCCCACCCCTCCTCTCTCTCTCTCTCTCTCTCATGATTGATTAATCTTGTGAACTTTCTTTTTTTTGAAGAAAAAAAAAAAATGGAAGTAGAATTGGCAATGAAATTTAATCAAAAGTTACATTTTCAAAATATCAAGGGCAGTCCAGTGTATGATTTTCTACGGCATCACCTATTTTATAATTGGCTAGCTTTCGAATGTATGATCTTGCACCAAACGATTGGAAAAACCATGTGAATATGTATAAGGGGAATGATTAACTCACTTCTTACCAAGTGACTCCTTAGGTACCCACTGCTATATATGTTTTAGCCTTTCATTCTTCCTAAACAATACTTTACATCAACCTTACCCTTTCTTTTGCGCCACACCTCTGCACTCACCACTACCCTCTCTCTCAAACCCTATCCGATCTAGAGAGATCTAGGGAGAGATTGCTCAAATGACTTGCTTTCTGTAATATCCGCAAGTGTTTTAATCAACATGGGAAATCGTTTGGTAGGGCTGCAGCTGTATCAAAATAGATAAAGCCTTACTCCACTCATCGAAATTGCAATTCAAGCATTGTACAACCTCCACATCGATCATCTCGGCTTTACCATTATGGTTGTGAAAAAAAATTAGCATTTCAAGCTCTAAATATAATGTATATTGTAACAAATTATCTAGACCATCCATTTCACCTTAAAAATAAGTGTTCATATATCTGCAATGTTGTCCCAGTTTTTTAGTTTCAAATTTTATTGTTGGAAATTGATTTTAGAGCCATCATGGATATTTCTGTTGTTGAATGTTATTTCCAGATAAGGATTTGAGTTGAGTTTTTATTTTGTTTTCATAAAGTCCAGGCTTTATAAAAACCATCGAATGATCAATCTATTTTTAGAGAGTTATAAAAACCATCCAATGATCAATCTATTTTTAGAGAGAAGCATCTTTGAAGCAGGCAAAGAGAATAGAGAGACAAAGGATTCAAGTGACCCTCTCTTGCTCTCTCTAGATCTCTTCCTTTCCACCCAAATTAAGGTTGATCTCATTATGTTACGAACCATTCGATCAATCATCAAATTTTCATTCTCCTAACAACTTCCTCAAAGTGACCAATAAGAGTCATCACACCCATTTCTCATTGTTCATCGTCAGTTCTCTTGCCTTCTATTGTCCAAACAAAAGGCATAGGGGGTGGAACTATCAACCTTGGATTGCCTTCACATCAACAATGTTTCCAACCAAAACAATAGCATTTCAGAGATAGGTTTTGTGGGCTATTCCTTGTGGGGCAACAGAACATCAGGCCTTCATTTATTCTTCTTGAGGACCCATATCCTGAACTAAGATGGGGCAAAAGTTTTTACCAATTCTATGAGCATAAGATAAAATATCACAGAATATGAAATAAGAATCATCTTTATTGCCAAATTGAGAAGTGGCATGAATCGCTTTTTGGGTTTCTTGTAATCTGAGTAATATTCTACCAATCGTTCAAGAAATTGCTCCTTTTGCTTTATTTTTTTTGGCAAAAGCGAGCATTACTGAATCTTTGAGGTGGGTTTCTCTTGCTGTCTTACATTTTGTGTCCTCAAAGGTCAAGTTGGCTTCATGCAACTCAGTTATAGATCCAGTGATTTGGGGTGGGTAGAGAAGATTAGGAAAAGGGTCTCCTTATGTTATTGAAGCAGAGGATGTCCCTTGAGGAAGGTGGAGGCAAATAGAGAGGTGGTGAGGATCTGTTGCTTGCATTGAGAGAGAGAGAGAGAGAGAGAGGGTTTGACGATAGAGAAAAGCAGGTATGCCTCTCATACATGCTTTTCTCTATCTTCAAACCCTGCCAGGATGGACAGTTCAGTGTTCTATCGGCTTACAGTTTTCTATTCTGACAGGCTGAGATGGAATGATGTATCTTTGAACAACGTTTGGAAGTAGCAAATACCTTTGAAGGTTCGTTGTTTTTTGTGGATCTTATTTTAGGGGACTCTAACTGTGGATAATCTCATTAAAAGGGGGGGAACGATGGTGAATATATGCCTTCTTTGTAAAAATGATGTTGAATATGGAGAACATCTTTCCTTAAATTGTTCTTTTTCCTATAATATTTGAAGTTGGATTTTTAATATGATAGGGTTATCAATTGTTGTTCCTGAAACTCATATTGATATATTGGAGCAGTGGGATAATGTATGCTTCTCGACAGTTGAGAGATTGATTTGGCAGGTTACCCAGGCTGCAGTTCTTTGAGAGATATGGAAGGAAAGAAATAATGGAGTTTCTGAAAGTGAAACCGTGGAGCTGGAAGTGGTGAAGAGAATGATTATTCATAATATTGGAGGTAGATGTGTCGGTGGATATTAGAAATCTAATGAGCCAAAGGACAATCAAGGTTCGACCAAAATATATTTGGTGTCCACCAGTACATGTTACACTTAGATAGGAGTTCACATGGTAACTTGGGTGCAGCTGGCTTTTTTTTTTTCGTTTTTTGGGGGGAGGGCGGGGGGGAGGTTGATTAGAAATTCAAATGGAGAAGAGCTTTTATGCTATGTTGGTCCATGTGAGGTGGCTACTACGAATGTTGCAGAAATGGAGGTTCTCCAAGGTATGCGCATTTTGTTTCAACATTTTAGGACCCAACTGTGTATGATTGAAGGGGATTCGATGAACATTATCAATACATATTCAAAGGAATCTTGTACACCATGAAATTAAAGAAGTAAATGGATGGAAGTAATGGACATTATGAGCCAAATGCAGGTATCTTTTCAGCATGCCTACAAGGAAGTAAATACGGTGGTGGATGGTCTGCTAATTTAGGAGTTTTGATGGATGAATTATTGATTTCTATAGAATTTTCCTTTAATTTTGTTTTTATGTACTGCTGTAAAGGAAGTAAATACGGTGGTGGATGGTCTGCTAATTTAGGAGTTTTGATGGATGAATTATTGATTTCTATAGAATTTTCCTTTAATTTTGTTTTTATGTACTGCTGTAATAGTGCCGATATTTTAATGAAGTAAATATACTCTTGTCAAAATAAAAAAAGAAAATAGAAAAAAAGGTATGACGTAACTTATGAGAGAGATCTAGGATAGTGAGGGCGGAGGTGTGGAGAAGGAGAGGGTGGGGTGGAGAGAGAGAGAGGGAGATCAACACTAACACATATTTTCAAAATATTAAACAGCAGTTTCCTAGTGAGTAGATGACCTGTAGAAGTGAATCTTTAATATGAGAATTGTTTATTATCAAAGGGTCACAACTAAAATACTAGAAAAATGTATATTAAAAATATATAGGAATGTCTACAAAGATCTCATTTATCCTTTTTACAATAAGGTCATAACTATTTCCACTCATTAGATGTCAAATTGGATGGTTTAGGGTGAGTCACAAAGTTTAATTTATTTATTTTTAACTTTGTTTCTATTGCATGACACTCTTATAACCACCCATTTTGAAACGTAAGGGACATCCATTTTGAAACGTAATGGACAAGAGTGATTATAACCTCCTTATACAAAAAATAAATGAGTTAAAATATATAGGATTACTCCCTTAAAAAAAATCTATATAGGATTACTCCCTTAAAAAAAATCTTGTTGGTGAAAGTAAGAAGGTGAAAATAAGGGCAACCATTTTTTAATTCATATATAGTACGGTTTGTATGTATAGAGCCTAGGCTCTAAACAATCAAATTAGAGGCTATCTTCAAAATAGTGTCGCGAAATGCAATTTCAATACTGGAAATCTTTGTAATAGCCTTAAAATATATTTTCATCTTTATTTATAATGTTTAAAGCTTCAAATATAGTGTAGATTGACATATTTATGAAAACTTGAAAATCTTAAAAATTGACGGTTCAAAAATGTGTTACAAAATACACTATTTCCTAAACTATGAAATCTATTTTTTTCTCATGGCCACGCATCTTGATGTCGAGATGATCAATTTGACAATATTTGAGCATCAAAACATATGAAAGTTTTGAGGTAGGCTCATTGTTAGCTCGATATAAACTTTTCCCTTAATTAAAACATGGCGGTTTTCATTCCAAATTTCAAAGGAGATTCAATATGGTCAATAGTCATATATTTGAACACTTTAACGAAGATTTTGAATTTGAAGGCGATTTAATTCTATCCTTTGCCACCAAAATACAAGAGTGAATCTGTATTTTGGATAGTCACAAGTAGGGTTCAAGTCTATCTTCCTGGAACTACCCATTCACTCTCCATAAAACACTCACTCTCATGCACTAAGAAGAGGATTTGAAACTAGGGAGATCTGGACATACGCTCACTAGGAATTCATACGTCCTAGAGAGAGAGATAGATGTCCCATGTTCTTTTCTTACATCTTTTTTAGAGAGAGAGTGATTGAATGGCACTTTTCTATCTCATAAACATGGGAATCTTAGAGAGAGAAAACATAGATAATCAAACTCACTCCCAAGTAATAGGCTTTTGGAGGAGCAAAGAAGCGAAGGCAGCATCCCTTTTACAAGTATATGTGTATGATGCATGCACACCTATGGTATTGTTATGCTTTTTCCTTCTTCTTTGTATATTTTTACTTTGTAACCTTATGATTTTTCGAGACCTAAATTAAACGTGTGTGGATTTGTATTGTGACAGGGATTGAAAGTCCTTGGAGTCCCTCATCAACCCAAATACATACGTAAAAAACCCTTTTGTATTTTCATTATACGAAGGAAAAAGTTTATACGAGGATGCTACCTTATAATGTAGAACTATAGATGCCCCTCAAAAATCCATCAGAAAAGGTAGTTTTAATGTTGAAAAACCTTTGATTGATCATCTCGACATCGAGATGTATGACTATGAAAAATAAAAAGATTTTGTCTAAAAAATAGTGCATTT